GCAATTAAAGGACTTAATGCCTATTGTAAAAAAACCATACTGCTCTAGATTAAAGAACAGCTTTAGAAATAAAACAAAAATGTCAGGAGAAACCATAAAATAAATATTATAAAGATTAGATTTGAACAAGAGAGACCTCTTGATTAGAACAGGTGATAGATCATCGACCAGCATGACCATTCACTCTAAACTGATTTATAAGATTAACAAATGCTTTTCATTTGATCAGATATAACTTGCCAAAAGGGAAACTCGCCAAAGTTAGGGTTGGGGAGGGTTTTATTTTTGTCTTTACAGGAAAATAAAAACAACTATCTTGAGGAATTTAAAGACCTTTGGAAAAAATAAGCATCCAAAGAAGAAGGGAGAACTACCTGGAAGAAAATTATCAAGAAAAGGAATAATTTGACCTAATGTGATCTCTGACGTATCCAAAAAGATAATGAGATCCCACAATGACAATTCTATCTGGACTATGGTAATGCTACTAAGCTGACAAACACCACCTAAAGATTGGCTTTGGACTACAAACTGCTCAGGACAGTTTCAAGGTGGCTGGCTGAGATGATCCAGCCTCAGAGACTACTTTAGCTAGGACTTGTGACAAGCCTGCACTTTCCCATTACACAGAGACTGGACAACAGATGATATAGCTAGTTCTCCCAGGACTTGATAATTACCCCATTTTTTCATGGTCCCCTAAAGATACTGTTGGCCCCAGACAGCAGGAAGTAATTTTAAGAACACGATGCCCACATTCCCAAGGGGTAGGGTGGTTCCAAGGGGATTGTAGGTCTGGTACTTGGCCTACAAGGTGGGAACAAAGCTCTAGATGGGTCAGCAGTATCTTGGAAGGCATTTGCCTTATTTGAGGCTTCTGTGGGGCTTTTTTTTTTTAAATAAGCAAGAGGCAGGTGGGAAGTGGCATTTCATTGTTCGACAAGGGGGCAGGGGCCCAGCCACTTCTACAGACCCTGGGGGTTCTAAGAGAATCTGAGGAGTTAAGATTCTCGGGGGTTTCTGTTCAGATGTCCTTAGGTGCTATTCTTGTAGTTTCTTTAAGCTCTGCCTGTTCCCTCATGGGTGAGGTGTGAGCTAACAAGAAATCTGACAGCAGCAGGGGGAAACAAGACCAGAAGTCTAGTTTTTACTGTATGTACAACGAGAATCCATCAAAGGCTTTTCAGCAGAATGAAATGATTTAACTCTCAGTTTTTATCTCTGTTTGTCTGTAGGATGCTGACTTCCAAGTAATTTTTCCAAGGAAAAAGAATGTTCCATATTTTTGAACCTCCCTTTTTGCACATGATTTGTATATGAAATTCCCTATTCATAGTTATTCTCAAAGCTCTATAGATGATAACCCAGTGATATGTAGCTAAGATTTCAAGTTTAATGTCTTTGTCCTTGTAGGTACCCTCAGTGCTTATAGGATTTTTCTCTTTAATGCTGAGACCTAGGGTCTCAAACATGGCCAGGAAGTGCTCTACCACTGAGCTAGTCTCAGCCTTACAAGTATTTGACAAAATATTTTACCTGGGATGAGTTTCTCAAAATTGAAGCTTTAATCAAAGGAAAACATGATGCTCACTTCTACAAGTTTTAGAACACTACATGATTCTCAGTAACTTTAAAGATCCAATTATCACCCTTTCCATTTAGTTTTGATCTTTGTTTTTGTGGTAGCCTCTAGAACCTCTCCCTCTCTCTGGTTTTTTGAGACAGGATTTCTCTTTGTAGCTCTGACTGTCCTGGAACTCACTAGACAAGGTTGACCTTGAACTCAGAGATCTGCCTGCCTTTGCCTCTGCCTTAAAAGTGTTGGGATTAAAGGTATGCACCACCAACCGCCTGACTAGAACCTCTTTTTTTTTTTTTTTGGTTTTTCGAGACAGGGTTTCTCTGTAGCTTTGGAGCCTGTCCTGGACTAGCTCTGTAGACCAGGCTGGCCTTGAGCTCACAGAGATCCACCTGCCTCTGCCTCTCGAGTGCTGGGATTACAGGTGTGCGCCACCACCACCCGGCTAGAACATCTCTGTTACACCACTGACTTTCTTAGGCAATTCTATCCCTGACTGCTTCTGTGTAGGAATTAATGTGCATGTTGCAGTTGCTTTCTAGCAAATGACTATTAGTGCATATGTTGTGTGATATGCATGTACTCGGTATGTGTGGTGCATGTGCACACTGGCTGTTTTGCTTTACTGCTCTCCACTTTATCACCTTCAAATAGGGTTTACTTATGGTAGGCTGGCTGACCAGTGAACTGTGTAGATGCACCTGTAACTGCTCGTCACAGTGCTGGGTCATAAGTACTCACTTTTTCTGGATTTTTACATGGCTTCTGGGGATCTGAACTCAGATCCTTATGCTTGCAGACTCACTGAGTCATCTCTCCAGCACCCTCTGGCACAGTAGTTCTCAACCTTCCTAATGCTGAGATCCTCTAACACAGATCCTTATGTTGTGGAGACCCATAACCATAACATTATTTTTGTTGCTACTTCATAACTGTAATTTTGCTGCTATGAATTGTAATATAAATGTTTTTTTATGGTCTTAGGTGTCCGCTGTGAAAGGGTCTTTCAATGTCCCCAAAGGGTTGTGACCCACAGGTTGAGCCACATGCACTGCTAACAAGTTAATTCATTTCTCTTGTAGCTGACCTAAGTTGCCTTCATCATGTATCTAATTCTATTTTTACCTTTTCTCTATGACTTTCTGAATTATGGAGGCCATGTCTTTCATCCTATTGCTGACATACTCTAAAAATCAATTTAGCTCCTGTAGTTAAGTACATCATTTTCAAAATTATGACCTTCCTTTGTATCTTCAGGATAATGGAACCATTCAGTCAGCAATTACTGCTGTTACAGTCAGTGGTTTGGGAGATATTAATGAACAAGAGACAAAAATCCTTTTATGAAGGTTACATTTGGAATAAAGGGAGAGATAACAAGCATAAATAATTAGCTTCTGAAAAAATGTTAGAAGAGTTGGAAAAATAAAGACATGCAGAGAATCAATGAGGTACTCAGAGCAGACTTCATAGACATTACAGGCACGTGCCACCACACTTGGCATTAGAATTTTATTTTGGGTATGTGCAATTGGAAATGAGTAATAATGAAACATGACAAATGGAATATTCCTTGAGTCCAATTTCAAGAGGAGCAGACATGAACTTGGGATATGTCAGAACAAAGATGTTTCATACTATTAGGTAAGATTACTAAGGGAATGTATTCTCAGAGGACCAAGAGTTGAATCCAGGAGTATTACGATGTCAACAGTTGGGGAGATGAGTGTCAACCAGTAAAGTAAAAAGGACTTTCCGAAGTGGAGTCACTAACTGTATCACATGCTGATATGCAAACATGAAGGCAGAATAGGGGCCTCTGGATTTGTCAACATAGAGGCCACTGATGACCTTCCTGAGAGTATTTTTGGGTGTATTATGCATGCAAAACTTAACTGAAGTGTTTTAAGAGAATGAACAAAAAACTCAACACAGAGCAAAGATACCGGTAGGTGATAAGTGGGTTAAAAAGATGATGGGGTTTATGTATTTGTATGATGCCAGCACATCAGTGTGTGGTTGCATGTGCACACAGTGGTCAGAGCAAGACCTCGGATGTCTCCCTCTGGCTCTCTACCTTACTGCTTTGAGACAGAGTCTCAATAAATTGGAAGATGACTCTTTTGTCTAGAGTGGCTGGATAGTGAGCTCTTGGAACCCATGTGCCTCTCCGGCCCAGTGCAGGAGTTACAGATACATGCAGCCATGCCTGTTTTTTTTTTATGTGGGCACTTGGGATTTGAATTCAGGTCCTCATGCTTGTAGGGCAAGCACTCTTACCCAGTGAACAAACTCCCTAGCCCCAGTTTTTAAATGGAGCGAATGGCAAGTTCTTGTGTTATAAGGATCAATCGAGTACATTCTCTTTCTGAAGTTCAGCACTAATCATAGGCTTCATGTAATGGGGTTTTTTTGCTTTTGTTTTTCAAGACAGGGTTTCTCTGTGTAGCTTTGGCGCCTTTCCTGGAACTCACTCTTTAGCCCAGGCTGGCCTCGAACTCACAGAGATGAACCTGCCTCTGCCTCCTGTGTGCTGGGATTAAAGGTGTGCGCCGCCACCCGGCATTATGTGCATCTCTTTAGACATGCTCTGATGAGATCTGGCCCACTCACACAACCACTTAAGTGCACTAAATCCCTTCATGTACCTACAGCAGCAAAGCAGAATGGTGCTCCACAGCAGTGCTTAGCATCTGAAGGACATGTCATGTCTAAGTGTGACTGCTGGATTTAGGAAAGGTCTGGCCTTCTGGACGGGTTCTCTCATAAGGTGAAATATTATATTAAATAGTGTCATTCTTAGAATGTTGAAATATTATATTATATTAAATAGTGTCATTCTTAGAATGTACCTGTTTCTTATCTTCATCCTGACCACAGCACTCTATAACCCTCTTTGGAGTACTACAGAGATGACGCTAGGGTCTGGAGGGAGGCTGGAGACAATGACCACTACTCAGGCACCACACTGCTGACGGTCAAGTACCAGGCGCCCTGACTGGGACTACTTGTTTTTTAAATAAAAATAGGCTCTGTAGCCCAAGCTGACATGAAACTATGCATGACCTTGAACTGACCTTGAACTACTTCCTGATCATCTGTCTCCACTTCCTAAGTGCTGGAATTATGGGCATATAACACCATGCCCAGCTCTGATCAGGACTGAATTGTTACAATTAGGCGGACTTTGTCCTCTTCCTCTCTTTGAAATGGACACCGGTGAGGTAAGCATGAGCACCCCAATCACTTCCCTGCTGTTGACACCTGGTGTTGTATATCGAGAAATCCTTTCTACATAGGTTTTACTTTTATTCCATGTACCTCAGTGGAAAACAGGGACCAATGAAATCAGGGTGCTTGTACAGGTGTTCTGGTTTGCAGTGAAGTCAACAGGATATACATACCGAACAAGCCGAAGTGCTTACTTTTCATTTTCTACAAAATGGTTTATTTTGCTGTTTTCTATGGAGAAGCTACAAATACATTCCATATGAACACAAAGGACTGAACTCTGTAGCACTATAAAACATAAGTGGTTATGAGGAATTGAGAAGCCAGGAAAAGGGGCATGGCATTTTTATATGCTCATTTCCCATCATACCCCTTACATGTCAAAGGCACTTGCCGAAGTGGTTAAATTAGGGATTAAGGGGTGTAAAATAATAACATATAACTAAGACATAAAAACAATGCTTGAATTTTCTTATCTCTAACATTTTACTAGATCCTTGGACATATGCAATTTACAGCTGTAAAATAATGTGAGTTTATTTCATAATCTTTTCAAGTGAAAAGAACCTAATGCAACACTGTAAAACCAGAATTTTTCTGTATCAACTGTAACAAGAACACTTTTATCTCCAGGTAATCACCTAGATCACTCACGTCACCTCTCAGGACACACTGGAAATCAGCTCTCACACCAGCACAGTGACTTCTGGAGCACAACCCTCTCCCTGACACCTTTGTCTGGCATCTGCTAAGGCATGGTCCTTCTTTACAAGCTTACCCTTATCCCAATTGGATTAGCAATGTTTTCGTCCTTACCTACTTGTTCTAAGTAGCTTTGTAAAATGAGAGTCAGCATACAAGTGTGCTCCACCCTTTATCCTACTTGACATATGAAAATAAGGAGCCGAGTAAGACTAACATCAGGTTTAAAGAGAAGGCCCATCTACACGTGGTGGTGCCCGTGGGGAGTCTCAGCTACTTCTGAGGCTAAGTTGGAAAGATCACTTGAGCCCAGGAATTCTTCCTTTGAACAAAAGGAAAAAGGCTGCAGTGTAGCTGAAAGTTTCCTGTGTCCCGCCTGGCCCACAGTCAGGGACAAATCTCTCACCCGCCAGTCCCACAGCCGCTTTCACAGCATACAGGTGATGTCCACAGCACTGCAGAGCATGGTGGCACACACCTTTAATGCCACCCCTCGGGAGGGAGAGGCCAGTGGCTCTCTGTGAGTTTGAGGCCAGCCTGGGTCACAGTCTCAAAAACAATACACACAAAATAGGCTCAGACTGTCAGTCTAAGTCCAGACATTTGTATGGACTAAGATGGCCCCTTTCTGCTCCTTCTGACCCACTTTACACTGTTTAATGGCAACTGCCTTCCCAAAACATGTGTTTAAATTGACTCATGTTCTTACTACCACTCACAGAAAAGTAAAAATGATTCCAATAACATTTCCATGTGAAAACACAAAATTTGATTGGTAGTACAGTCCTTAATTTAGCAACACTCTGACTCAATACAACTAATGACCTTTGTGTTTAACACTGAAAAGATTTCTTGTATATTTTCTAGCCATAAAGTATATACAAGATGTGACAAGTCTGTTTGGGCTACAGTGCTGACAGGACACAGAACATGTGGAAGTAGCAAGAAGCAATTTCAAGCTCTTTCCATGTCTGATCCTCAGCCTGTGTGTGTGTATTTACAGGGTACTCACATGCTACACAAAACAGAAAGTTGTCGATTCTGCTATCAAAATGCCAACATTACTTTCTAACACAGAGCCCAGGAATGAACTGTAATGACAGTCACAGGAACCTCTGTACCTGATGTACATTACTCTTTCTCCATTTTAAACCATGTTCCACCATCAATACTGGACCTTCTTTTAATCAGTAAATTTCTCAGTTTATAAAATTTTTTGGGACAGTTCCCAATGGTTTTTGTTAGGACAAAGGAAACAAAGACCACAGGCATCACTGAGTTATGACGAGGAGAAAGAACCTGTTCATCACAAACTGCTACAAGGGAGGAGGCTTCTGTTAGCCAAATCACAAGGGCACGCTTCAGGCATGGAAGTAGTGACCTGATTTCACTGGGCACCAACTAACATTAGCAAAGCTACTTGAATGGTTCTGTTGATCTTCACTGTTGTTAAATTATGATAGTTTTGATGGTGGTAAAACTTCATTTTTTCAAGTGCAGGATGATCTGAGCTGAATGAGAAAAAGAATGATTAAGGAGGGAATGAAGGCAGGCCTGGCATCAATCTGAACAACCACTTCTCTTCTGGTTTTTTGCTTTTAGGTTTTTTGAGACAGGTTCTTATTCTATAGCCCAGGCTGGTCCAGAACACACCATGAAGCCCAGGAGGGCTTCGAAATCATGACAACCCTCCTACTTCAGTGTTCAGAGAGCAGAGATTATGGGTGTGAGCCATCACACCTGGCTCTCCTCAGCTTCTTATTGTGGGAATGCTCATATTTCCAGTATTTCACATAATGTCATAAACATGCCAGTCATTTTAAGGTCTCAGGATTATGTACGATCAAAAAAGATAAAACAATAAATAAACTGAGTAAAGTCATCACTGTTGTAAAAAATTCTCAGTCACATGCCAACATGGTTTCCTCAGTAGCAATAAATTTAAATACAAACAACTACATATATAAAGTTATGTAATCTAAACTTTTTTATACTTAATGTCTAGAAAATAATTTTATCATTCTATTTTTTAATAATTGTTTCCTTAAAAGTGGCATGCTTTATTAAAATAAGCACTGGAAATATGGAGTCTTCTTAGAAAAAAACTCCATCTTCACTAATAGACACTGAGTGACACTAAACATCTACACTAATCAATGGCAAGCTAATGACTTATGAGTCTAGTTATAACTCAAGACAAACACAAGACAAGCACACACTGGGACCAGCTCTGCTGATTTAAGTACAACATCTCCGTCCCTGAACTACCAGCTGCTGGGATTGAGAACACTCCTTGGCCCATCGTTTTCAAGAGGATTTATCATCAGTTCAGATGCTGTGCACATGAACTGACGAACAGAGTGAACAGACCAGAGTCAACTTTCCATAATATGCAAGAAACTGTAAAGTCAGCAGTTATATCTAGATGCTGCAAGGGTCTAGGCATCACTTAATCTGGCTGCCACCTTTCAAATTTCTTTCCATTCTAAATATTCTTGTCTGTTAGTATTAACCACTATAGAATTAAACAAAGAAAAATCCAAATTGTTTTATACATTTTGAATTAAAATGATCACAGAAATAACACATGTTATACAGGACCACCATCTCCCCTTCAATACTGACAATCCCTGTGAACTGTATTTCTAGATTAAGATGTCCATGTGAAGAAATTCCCGAAGGTTCCAATTTGATTATCATGCCTTTTCCTCTTATACATCAGGATGCATTTTCACATTGACTTGTTTAAACAATACTCAGGGGTTGGCACTCTTTACAATGAACACATCTTGTTATACCCCTAAGCATCTGCTACTGACTGATTATGTACAGATGACCTAAGCTCCTGACAGTCTGCCACTCACTGCCACTGGCTGTTTGGACTGTGCACCATCTATGTCCTGAAAAGTGTCAGAGGATACACCGAGAGTGTCAGAGAAACATGACATTCAAAGCAGAAGACTATGCTAACTTCAGCTCTTCTGGCACAGTTAAAATTAAAGAGGGAAAACTATTAACAAATTAAATCAAGGAAAAAATTACCTGCAGGTTGCACTTACATCAGAATTGGTCCCTTTTTATTGTAGTTTAACTGACAATCGACTGGACCAAGACTGGGTGCTACATATTGCTCATTTTCAAACACTCCAGTGACATTGTCCAATACTTTTATTATCTCCAATTTTATGGTACCATATTATGCTTTCACACTGTTTAAATTTCCCATTTTCAAAATGCAAATACCAAAAAGTTACCACGCATTCCCTTATACAGTCAGAATAGGTTTACTGGAATGTGTTCAGGTAGAGCTGAAGGCAGAAACATTTACAACGCATAGCTTTTGTCAATCCATAAACGTGGAAATGGCCTGCAAAGCAACTGTAATATGAAAAGAATGATGTTCTTTCATATACTGATGGGATGGTTATGAATCTCTTTCAGCATCAGAGTCAGGACTCTCTACACAGGCTTCCTGACCACCAGCTTGACCCTCATTTTAATATAATAATAAATGTTTTTAATGCCACTAAGACACAAATATGGGATATTGTCATCAGTGTTTAACTATATATACATATAACAAACTGGCAAGTATCTAGTTTCAAATTAGATCCTTGGAATAAAGCAAAATAGAGTTATCTTTGCCTTAAATATAATTATTCAAAACACATTTTGCTAGTTGGGAAGATTATTGGATATTCTCAATGCTCCAATTTGAAGTGGTACTTGCCTTTTAGTTTCTTGAAAAAGAAAATTTGAAAGTTATATACATAGGTTTCATTTAAATTATGCAGCAATCTTTAATTATTACTGTCCCAGATCTTGTTTAATGAGGATCTCTGTCATCAAATCAAGTACGGTTTTTCACAACTATAAGAACTGTAAGAGAAAAAAGTAAAACAAAAAAAGAAAAAGAAAAAGAATGCATGAAAATCAGAACCATATCACAGCTAGGTCAGCAGCACAATTCCTATGTGTGGGCATCAGCCATTGTTAGAAAGGAGAAACCAAAGCCAAACTCTGATCTGAGATAACAGCTATGAAATAAGAGGAAATGCAGAAATATTACAAAACAACCCAAGTGGCTAACATTGGCCTCTTGAGCAAATAAACCATGGCAAAACAGTACCTTTAGCTCCTAAAATATTATTACAGTATTTAATGACATGGGAAAAAATGAATAAAATATTTATTGGAAAATATCTGATATGATCTTAGCTTCTGAAAATCATGCTTACACACCAATAGGAAAAGCACATAAAACAGTTATACTGACAGCAGCTACAGTAGTATAGTGAGTCCAGTTGAATTTTACAGTCCTTTTTATGCTAGTCTGTATTTTGCATGGTGCCCACCATTTATGGTAGGTTCTTGTTATCTGAGATATTTATATTCTACAAAGTTATCAAGAACATTGAACTGGTGACTCCTGAACCACTACTCCTAGGGAAAACACAGGGTTAAGTTCCTCTGCGTCTCTGGCTGCTACATTTTAGTCAATAAATTAACACATAATCTTGTTTTATGTGTGTTTCTGTTGAAAGACATCTTGTTTAATAGATGTCATGAATTAAAACATTACAAGGAAGGCAAGGCCAGCAGTAGTGTAGCTCATCCCTGAAGAAGCCCACATATTTCCTGTGAAGGTCTGTTACAGTATTAGTAACAGAGATAGCATTTCTAGTCTATCCGTGAATCCACTTCAAACCGTAAGTCAGCAAAAACGTGGACCAAGCAGTCTATGATAAGGACACTTGGTTAGGCAATGAAGGTTGAAATAAGAAGGCAGATCTCCATTTGACCCTGGCTGGAAACCTACGGGGCAAGGGAGTCAAAAGTCTTCTTGTTCTGAATGACCATGGAAATAACATGAACATTAACTTGAGGGTTACAAACACGCTTCAACTAGTAAACAAATGCACACAGCAACCCAGGTAATGAGACTGGATCATAGTTCTTTGTAACACTTTTTAAGATTAAAAAATATCTTTATCTGCCTGAATATACCTACCTGATATTTCAAAATTATCCTGGGGCTGGGTGTGGTGTCTCACACCTAAAATCCCAGGACTTGGGAACAACGTACTAAGTTTCAGACCAACCTGGACTACAGAGTAAAACTTTGCTAAAAAAAATAAAAAGCAAAATAACGCCTCCTCAAATATATCCTTATAAAAATTTCTAATTGTTATTTTTTTTGGAGACCCTTCCTAGTTCTTCATAAAATCTCTGTAAATATAAGTAAAGAGATCTTGAAGAAAGGTACTTATTAAAAAATGATCTGACTTTGAAGAAAATACTAAGAAAAAACAGAATGAGTTATGGTTTCAGAACTAAAACTAAGTTCAAATCTATAAATACACAAACAAAGTCATCTGGAGAAATTAACAGGTTTGTCTCCTGAACACATCAGTAAACAGAAAAGTATCTTTTGGCTCTAAGTATATCAGATACCAGATTTAGCCTTAAACAAATGGCTGAGTCCTGTGCTGTGACTGGGGCATGGCTGAGGAGCAGGAGAGGGAGCATCCTTTGGGAATCTAACAAAGGATATGGACTCCCCACAGAAATGTACACATGCATATTCACATAGAACCTCAGACATTTAAAGCCGTTCTCAGAGATGGGGAGAGTCTAGGTAGAGGTTCCCTCCTTATTCAAGGCATATGTCATTATTCGATGCTGACATTATATACACTAGGTCAACTGAAATGAAAGGGAATTAAAATAACTTTAAAATAAAACCCTAGCCAGAGGCCAGCCTGGGCTACACAGTGGCATTTAGGACAACCTGGGCTATATAATGAGACTATGTATCTGGAAAAAAAAATCAAGACCAAATCAAACCCTAAGCTTTACAAAACACAATACCCCGAGAAACAATGATCCAATGAATACTTACTGATAATCATTAGCAAAAGGATAGCTGCAGCCAAAGCCATGATGGCTTTTATCTATAACACAAAAGGCAAATGAAAGATTTGACTTGTTAATAAGACAAGACTCTCTGTCTGCTACTTATGGTACTACACAACCTCATCAATAAACAGGCACACTCCCTGCAGGGTTCCCAATTTGTTGTTTCTCACATGAATTTGATGGCTGGTTTATATTCTTGTGTAAATAATCAAAGTTCCTCCAAATGTGAGGGTTTGCTTTGGTGGATGTTACCATCTACGGCTGTACTACACAGTAAGCAGCCACAACGAAGCCTTCTCGGGGCTGGGGCTACTTCTAATGTGAGACATAAAAACGGTACTTTTAGCAGTTCTGGTCAGGACTGGATAGAAACACAGGCAGCCAGTAGTCCATGTATTATTTTATGTACAATGGCCTGTCTTACATGGGGAGTTATGTGCCCTCACCCCATGAATGCTTTAAACCATGGATCCTACCAAATCCTCTGTATGTGGTTTTCCCTGTGAAGGCATACCTATGATAATAAATTGATAAATTAGATAGAATAGACTAACAACCAGTAGTAAAATGGAACACGTGGAAAATAAGGTAAAAGGAATTTGGTGTTTCTCTTCCAAGGCAAATTTAGGTTCTCTAATCTCAGCTCACTGTAGATAACCAACAAATGGAGAACAAAACCATGGACAGGGGACTGCTGTCTACATGACAGCAGGCTACATGGGACTGTTACACACTCACACGGGCTGCCTGGGGACTGTTACACACTCACACAGGCTGCACGGGACTGTTACACACTCACACGAGCTGCACGGGGATTGTTACACACTTACACAGGCTGCACGGGGATTGTTACACACTCACACAGGCTGCCTGGGGACTGTTACACACTGGCACAAGCTGCATGGGGGCTGTTACACACTCACACGGGCTGCATGGGGGCTGTTACACACTCACATGAGCTGTATGGGACTGTTACATACTCACACGGGCTGCATGGGGACTGTTACACACTCACATGGGCTGCATGGGGACTGTTACACACTCACATGGGCTGCATGGGGATTGTTACACACTCACACGGGCTGCATGGGGACTGTTACACACTCACACTGGCTGCATGGGGATTGTTACACACTCACATGGGCTGCATGGGGACTGTTACACACTCACATGGGCTGCATGGGGACTGTTACACACTCACACGGGCTACATGGGGGCTGTTACACACTCACACGGGCTGCATGGGGACTGTTACACACTCACACGGGCTGCATGGGGACTGTTACACACTCACACGGGCTGCATGGGGACTGTTACACACTCACACGGGCTGCATGGGGGCTGTTACACACTCACACTGGCTGCATGGGGACTGTTACACACTCACACGGGCTGCATGGGGACTGTTACACACTGACAGCAGGCATCACAGTAGTTCTCTCCAAGTACATGGGAATACTGTCAGGTGTTTCCTGACCGTATTTTCTCCACAGTAATTTTACCCCTCCACGATGTTTTAATCTCCATTTTAAAGACTATACTTTAAATTCTTTATGAATAACAACATTTAATTGTGTCAGTTTCAAATTAAAAAGAGAAGCTTAAGATCATTTCTCAGTCAGCTGTTTGACATTTTAAGCTCATGTTACCTTTCTATATAAAATTGTCACAATCATCATTTCATTTTTTAAATGCATACATTATTTGAACTAATTTCATTTCACTGATGAGTCAAAAGTCTTGCTTTCATTAAACAATTTCATATAATTGAAAAACTCATGCCTTTAATCCCAGCACTTGGGAGGCAGAGGCAGGTGGATTTCTGTGAGTTCAAGGCCAGCCTGGCCTACAGAGTGACTTTAGGCCAGCCTTTTTTTTTTGCTATAAAATCATAAAAGATATTTGTTTCGCCGGGCAGTGGTGGCGCACGCCTTTAATCCCAGCACTCGGGAGGCAGAGTCAGGCGGATCTCTGTGAGTTCGAGGCCAGCCTGGGCTACCAAGTGAGTTCCAGGAAAGGCACAAAGCTACACAGGGAAATGTCTCGAAAAACCAAAAAAAAAAAAAAAAAAAAAAAAAAAAGATATTTGTTTCATGATTGGTCATACTTGATTTAAGAGGCAAATTCTTTTTTGCAGGATTATTAGTATGTAGTGATTCCATTTGTTTTTATTAAAATTTTTCTTTTATTTCTTATTTCATTGAAATAATGAAGGAATAAAATGGGACATTTTCCATAATCTTTTTGTTAGGAGAGTTCCTGGCAAACAAACTGCTTCTGTTTTCCCCCCTAGGAGAAAAATCACACTTCTGTCTAGTTTTCATTTTATTAAAAAAAAAAAAAAAAAGAAAAGAAAAAACCATTCTGTATATAATGAACAGTTTCAAAAGTGCCCAGAAGTGCTGCTAGGCAGGGCAGAGGGTCTGTCCTCATGTGTGCAGATGCGGAACCACCGGGGAAACGGGGCTACTTTCAGGGAGCAGCTCTGAGGCATCCTTTCAGACACTGCTTGAATCCTCAGTCACTCCTCTGCGTCCCAGGCTGAGGAAATCTCCTGGTAAGCAAGGCAGTTGCAGCATCTGTCCTGCTCACAGAGCTCAGACTAGTGGCCCCTCCTCCTCCTCCTCCTCCTCGCATCCTTCTCTGCCCCACCCCCACCTCCTCATTTACTTACTTTGCATCCCCGCCACCACATTTGCCTTCGGAGTTGTTTGGATCTGTTGCTGAAAGCAGTTGCATTATCCGATAAGCTTTCTGCATCACACAGAGGGTGGAGAAAAGGATTAAATAACAAAACAGGATTCTTTTATCTAGTCATACAAAGACAAAATACATCAATTTCTACTTTTTCAATTTTTTCGCACAAATTGTTAGTCTGTATTGAAAAAAAAAACCAACACAAAACACACGGAAGGTCAGTTTGTTCAACCAATTCCATCCCCATCCCCACTCAAGATTTTGAGAACCCTTCCTACGGCCTCAATGCTTATATACACAAACTTCTTAATTCTGGTAAGAAAATAGTTTAAAATTAAGACTAGTTGGGGGACGCAAGATGGAAACTAAGCCTGTGACCTGAGTTTGATACACAGGGACCCACAAGATGGAAGGAGAGAGCTAAGACCCTAGCCTCCACATGTTCATCATTGTTTGTGTCCTCCAACGCATGCGCATGCACACAAATTAATGGAATAAACGTTTTTAAGTTAGTAGGGGATGGGGTTGTTGCTCATGGGCTGATGCCTGATAGTACACATTAGATACCAGCAACAGAAACAAAACAAATACTTTGGCACAACTCTAGAAAAACTCTGCACACAGAGAAAATGAAATTTTCAGAAAACAAAGATAACTGATTTTGAGTGAAAAGAATAAGCAATCAAGCAAGTTTCTGGTTAGGCAAATCTATCAAGAATGAATCTGGCCTGCAGCCACTCACCATTCAAACAAGCGTGAATGGCTAGTATGTGCCCCAAACCATTACAGGCTCAAAGGCTAACAGCTGCCTGTAAACAAAAGCTGCTCAGTTTCCAGGGAAAGCCTAAGTCATCGTTCAAACAATACTGAGGTCCAAATATGTGCTAGGAATCATTATAGACACAGAGACCAACACCTGTCAGTAAAGAAAGACTCCCTAATTACCGGAGAAGACATAAAATAAAAATATTAGGCAAGTTTGAAAGGAGTACTAAAAAAACAGACTAACATCTTGACATCACAAAAAACACAAAGCATATCAACATAACAGGGCAAGAGAAAAGAGGGGATTTAACTTTTGGCAATTAAGTTTTAAATTCTCTGTTCTTAACTGAGTAAGGAGGAAACAATACAGTATTCGCATTAATGGGCAGAAACTAAGCCATGGCCATCAGTCTTAAGAACTGAATGTTAACTTCCTAAGCCATGATTCCTAAATATCAGTGAGACAAATGGAAGGTATATTAGCTACACACATAGTCATAATATCAAGAGATACGGAAATGGCTGTACCTGATTTGTCCTGCAGCTCATCTAGTCTCTCTCCTCTTTCAATGACCTTTGTGATGTTTTCTTGCATCACATCAATAACTTCATCCACCTGATTCTGAACACTAGTTTGAAAAGAGAGAAGATTTATTCTTCTTTTAGGAATAACCACATTTTTAGGACTTTTACTAGATGTGGCAAATTCTCAGAGAACTATGGTTTGCCATTAACCTATAAAATTAAGCAATGGTTTTCCACTTGGATAAAGGCTATACATTAACATAATATTTAACGGAAAGCTTACTTTTTGTCTTGATTCTATCTTGAATGTATCTCATAAGCAAATCAAACATTGACAGAATGCTCAGTGAGACTTAGTGTTTCATTTTCTTTTTAATAGACTGTTGAAACAGCAGGTAAACCTAATAATCATAACTTACCTTTCTTGGTAATGCATTTCAACCATAAAAGACTTACCAACATGTTTGGCCAGGTTTACTGGGGGGCTAATGAAAAATACCTAGTTTCTAAAATGGAAACATACAGCACAACTTAGGAGGCACTGGATACCCAATGGGGATAGCCCTTCACTGCTCACTCGTTTTCTCTTAAATATAAGCAAGATTCAAGATAACCTGGAACACCCCAGAATATTTGAAAATGCCCACCAAAAGGCAAAAATGAAAAACAATTCAGTCTTTCAAAATGAAAATGTTTTCTTCTTTTATGTGATGGCAGCCTCTTCTAATTAAACTTCAGACTATTCAGTGAAAACTGAAACAAACTTAAGAAGTGGCCAAACGGTCCTCAACTACCCACTGTCACATAGCGTTACCTCCAAAGTATAAAACACAGAAATGCTTAATGGAGTGTCTAGTATTCCTCTGATGCTCTAACCACAGATAAGAACCCTGCTTAAATTACTTTATATAGTAAGCCTTGGCAATGAACTATCTAAAAAGAGAAATAAAGTCAACTTCTGGTCCTTATAACTCAAAAACTGTTTAGAGCACAATGATTATTAACAACTATATACACACAGAAACACACATACAGTTAAGTAAGAATATGCAGTTGTCTTTCGTGTGTGTGTGTGTGTGTGTGTGTGTGTGTGTGTGAGAGAGAGAGAGAGAGAGAGAGAGAGAGAGAGAGAGAGAGAGAGAGAGAGAGAGAGAGATGAGAGAGAGAGAGAGAGAGAGAGAGAGAGAGAGAGAGAGAGAGAGAGAGAGAGAGAGATGAGAATTCACTTGGGCATTTTTAAAAAATCCTAATACACATCTCTTCTCTGTCCTATCCTACACTATCCCCCCAAATTAACCCAGAGTTGGGGATGAGGGACCATGTGCAGTTCTGAAAGAGTTCTATCCTTTATTTGTGCTGGTCAAAATGTGTGCTTTAAAAACAGGAGAAGGCCCACTCAGACAGAGGTGATCAAGAGGCAGGACTGTCACACGTTAGCAGCCATTACTATGCCTGATGATCCCATCTTCCACTTATGTTAAAAACATCATGCATGCCCATGGATTATCCACACATAGCCTGTAGGATTCATCACGGCTTCCCAAAGGTCTCCTTCTGTACCTGATTCTCCTGAAGGCTCTAAGACTAAAACTCAAGCAGGGATACACCCAAACAGATTTGACGTGGCCGCTCAATCTCTAAGAGATGTCTTACTGCAAATCCTAACTATCCAAGCAGAGGGTTAAAGATGTTTATCCTTCTGAAGAACAGTGGCATGAATATTTCTGCAACTCTTCACATGTACAATCAACACATTTCATTAATCTTAAAGCTGAAAAACAGCCCGCTCAGGGGCCCTGCCCCGCCTTAGGACTGAACACAAAGTGAGAGTGCCTGTTGATTTACCTACAACAAGCGTATGGCAGAGCATTTGAAAATCTTCGTGCTGAGTAAGTGAACAATCTGAGCATGAATTTTGTAACGCTGACCTAGTGACTTGAAAGCAGGTCTGTGCTCACAATGAATGCTGGTGAGAATGCAGGCAAAGGGGAGGCTTATATACTGTTGGGAGGGATGTAAATTAATCCAGCCAATACAGAAAGCAATGGGGAGGCTGCTGAAAGAAATGAAAAATAGTCCCAGGTACGATGGTGTCTACCTGTAACCTAGTACTTAAAAGGTGGAGACAGGGGGGTCAGGAGTTCAGGGCTGTCCTCAGCTACACAGTGGGTCTAAGCCATGCCTGAACAGTCATGACATTTCCAAGTAGTCATTTGTATTTTACACAAGTGGCAACTAGCAGGGCAGAAATGATCAACAACGTACTATAGCTGCTACATACAATCAGATTATAGTTATGGATATTAATATGCCATATTATACATGACTTTAAAGTTAGGTCAAAAGGCTGAAAACTCCCAATGAAATAGGTTTCATTATGACATTTCCAAACAGTGTACCTTGAGCATATTCATTCATCCCTTTGCTGCTGGTTCTCACCCTCTCTCCATGCCTCTCCCATTCCATACCTTCCTTCTACTTTTGTGTCCTTTTTACCCACCCCTTTCCCACCAGACTCCACAACATGTGGCCCATGTCCCAGGGTAGCCAAGGCTACACAGAGAAACCCTGTCTCAAAAAACAAAACAACAGACAAACAAAAAATTCATGTTCTGCCACATACACATTCTTCCTTATTTTATAAAGAAAATACTAATTTTTCATTAACATCCCATCTTGCCTTTTAAGGTACTGTTAACAAAGAGGGTTTGCTGTTTGAAATGATGTTTTCATTCATTCATTCATTCACTCATTCATTCATTCAGTGTGTGTGTGTTCGTGCAGCAGTCAGTTCTCTTGCAATTCCTCCATATGGATATCAGGAATTGAACTCAGGTCCTCAGGCACGGGGCAGATACCTTTTCCTGCTGAGCCATCTTGGTGGTTCCAACATAAGAAGTTTTAAAATTATTTTGTACTCTTACAACTGCCGTCATATCATGGGAAATCCTTCGGTGCCTTTTAAAGTTTGAACTGGTTGGACTAAGGTGACAGCAGATTGCTCATCTGTGACAGAAAGTATCTAAAATTTATCAAAGTAGCATTTATGATGCTTTTATTCAACTTAAAAGCAGAGGAAACATTCCAATAAAAGTCACAAACTTTGTCAACCTGATGGCTAAAGTCTGTAATTTCAGCAAGGAGGTTAAGTAGGAGCATCTCAACTTCAAGGTCTGCCTGGCCAACTTGGCAAGACTCTGCCTCAAATAGGATTTTAGAAAAGTTGGCGGTGTAGCTCGGTGGTAGAGCTCTTGCCTAGTATGCATAAGGCTCTGGGCTCAACCCCTAGGACTGGAAAAAAAAAAAAAAAAAAAAAAAGAAAATGACACAATGAAATGATGAATTTTATAGGAGCAAGTAAATATTTAAAGTATTTCTCAAAAAATATCTCTTAAAAAGTATTAATAGATATTTTTATATTAAACTGTAACCAACTTTAACTATTACTGGCCAATCATATAATTCCAACAACGCAACAATGTTGCTGATCTACAAAGCTGGGAAATACTCCATTGAATTATTATAAATGAAGTGGTAATAATGCATCTTAGTTAAAAAAAAATGACCTATCTGGTGTACTAGACTAATGTCAGGGAGTTTTCCTTAAGCATGTGGCACGGCAAGTTGTCCTTTGTCATCTTGTACACACTGGTGAGTCATGTCACATTAGATTAGTGTTAGTGAGGCCGGGCCATCAGTAAATTTTCAGTTTGCTCTTTGATGCCTGATTTCCAACTAAATTCAACCAGCCTTCAGTTCTAGAGTAAGAACCACTACATCACTCAAAGTCACAGTAATAATTTATATACGGTATATATACATGCGTTTTGTGTGTGTGTCTCAAAAGACACAACAGGCCATATTCTACATTAGATTCACTCTGAGGAAGCATTTCAGACAGGAAACAAAGCATATCGGCTAGACAAACAACAACAAAACCTAGGAGTGTCATCAATAGATTCCTCTGCTCCAGGGACACCTTAGGCTCTCAACAATTCCATACTGACACTTGGCAGGCATACTCATGAACAATGTCCTGTGAATCCACTGGCACCTGAGATAATGGGGGGCTTGTGAGGCCAGTCTCACTCCACTCCATGTGTACTTTGAACCATCTTAGACAGTTTCTTACAACTCTCAAGTGTTGTGGAATGTTATTTTAAGATGTGTTACATTTGTTTAATGATGCAAAGATGTGTTGCTTCCTTTATGTTGCATTTTCGTTTAACTCTGTGAAGCTGTGTTACTGTGCCTGTTTAAAACACCTGATTGGTCTTATAAAGAGCTGAATGGCCAATAGCAAAGCAGGAGAAATGACAGCTGGGGCTGGCAGGTAGAGAGAATAAATAGAAGGAGAAGGAGCAAGAAAAGGAAGAGGGTATCAGGGGCCAGCCACCCAGCTACACAGTAAGCCACGGAGTAAGAAATAAAGGTATACAGAATAGAGAAACATAAAAGGCCAGAGGCAAAAGACAGATGGGATAATTTTTTTTAATAATTTATTTTTATTTTTATGTGCATTGGTGTTTTTCCTGCATGTGTGTCTGTGTGAGGGTGTCAGATGCCCTGGAACTGGAGTTACAGACAGTTGTGAGCTGCCCTGTGGTGCTGGGAGTTGAACCTAGGTTCTTTGGAAGGGCATGCAGTGCTCTTACCCACTAAGCCATCTCTCCAGTCCCCCAGATGGGATAATTTAAGTTAAGGAAAGTTGGCTAGTAATAAGCCAAGGTAAGGCTGGGCATTTATAAGTAATAATAAGATGCTGTGTGATTTATTTGGGAGCTGGGTAGCAGGCCCCTAAAAAGGGCAAAGAGTAAAAACAACCAACAACACCCAGGTACTGATGAGGTATGCCCTTTCTGCAGGCTGCAGACTATAAAAACCACTTAGCTGCCTCTAGCAACAACTCCTTTGTGACACAGTATCGACAACTGGTGGTGAAGTTACTGGCCCCTTTTGGTGTTAGTGCTGAAGTGTGAGACAATGGTGCAGGAAGCCAGCACCTCTGGCCCCTTCTCCTTTTTCTATAGAATATGAACCTAAAAGAGCTTGTATTATAATGGCAAGGGTTACAGGCATGTGCCACCACGCTCACCCAACCAACACTTTCCATCAAAGAGTCTTAGCTTTTGTGAGCTATATGATCTCTGTGTCACAATTATTCGACACTGTTATTGTAACTCAAAAACAGCTAAAAATAATATGGAGACAAATGGATATTTGTCTGTGTTCCAGTTAAAAAACAAAACAAATCAACTACCAAGTTTGTTTATAAAAACAATAGCCAGATCTGGTTCACAGGCTGTAGTCTGATAGCCCTGGTCCACAGAGAACTATAACAATCATTTAAATGAATGACTGTCTAGGAACTTACTGCTTAATCTTATCATTTCTAGGTCCAAATCTTGGTCCAGATGGTCCCCGTCTGAAATAAAATAGCCAGTATATGTTAGTAATGACAATATCACACAAATATGAAAACAAGAAACACATCTATGTGTGTAATCAAGCTGGATTCTAATATGGATCACCATTAATCATACAGAGCTGCATTTCACAGGACCTGGTAGAAATGAATGTTACATAATCACGTATCTACTTCATGGTACATACTGTTGGCCATAATCTAATTCTTCCAATTGGTAAAACTTCCTGAGAAAATATGGAGTACATAATCCTAATATTTAGTGATACTTTTCCCCCTACACATTAAACTCTGAAATGTCATATCAACTAAATTGTCACTGACTATGAATACCTTTGCAGTCAATTCTAGAACTAAAAATGCAACTTACTTTGAATTTCTTCAAAACATTAAAAATTTGAAGTATATTTCTAAAATACCTTTCTTACAGATATCCACAGAGCAAGAAGAAAATGCAAGAACACAAGGAAGCATTTAGCCATCTCAAGTTATTACTATCGTCTCTTGTCACAGTCAAGTGTATAACACCTTCATCCACCCAGTGCTCTAGGAATGGGAACGTCAGGGTATTTTGATAAATTTTTTTCTGAAGATAGAGAAGGTTTAAAGCACAAAACTAAAACAAAGCAAAACAACCCTAAGTTCTTAATTTTTAGACATGAAACTTTTTTTTTTTTTTTTTTTTTTTTTTTTGGTTTTTCGAGACAGGGTTTCTCTGTGTAGCTTTGCGCCTTTCCTGGAACTCACTTGGTAGTCCAGGCTGGCCTCGAACTCACAGAGATCCGCCTGGCTCTGCCTCCCGAGTGCTGGGATTAAAGGCGTGCGCCACCACCGCCCGGCTGACATGAAACTTTTTAAAGGAAGGCAAAATATGCATTTCTAAGAAAACATGTTTAGAGGAAAAATTAAAACTATTCATTAAAACAGTATCATTTATAAGGATGACAGCATCACTTTGCCTTAACTTCTATAAGTGTTTCCCTCTCAGTCTTCAGAGCTCCAACTAAGTACTGGAGTTCTGGACCAGCATTCTATGCCAAATGACAGGTCAAAGCACTATATTTCATATTCTGAACCAGATAATTCGGAATAAATCCAGAGACAAGCATGAAAAAGTAGTGATTAAATAAGGATACTACAGACAAGACAGTTACCTAAAAATCATTAGGTTAAAACAGTCCAAAAGCTCGGTGTGGTGGTGCACAGTTAAATCCCAGCACTTGGGAGGCAGAAGCATGCAGATCTCTGTGAGTTCAAGGCCAGCCTGGTCTACACAGTGAGTTCCAGGACAGCCAGGGCTACACAGAGAAACCAAAAAAAACAAAAAACAAAAAACAAACAAACAAAAAAACCCAAACAAACAAACAAACAAAAAAACCAAGAACAAAACCAAAGATATATTAAATCTACTATAGTGATATTAGTTCTTCAATATAGCATTTATGATATAAGAAATATGGGAGGAAATGAGGAAAGAGAGAGGGGGATAGGGAGAAGGAAAGGGAGGGAAAGACTGAGAAAGAGAAACAGAAAGAGTGACAGACAGACAAACAGATACACAGTGGCACACATGTATAATCCCAGCATTTGGGAAACAAAGGCAAGATGATGGTTGAGTTTGAGACCAGAATGAGACCCTGGGAAGGATGGGACGAAGGGAAGACATTTAAAAAATTGATTTCAGTTAAATCAAAGCTTTAGTGGCAGTGTGGCCACTTTGGAAGACAGATGTGACTGTGCACAGGCCTTCATGTCTGGGGATTTACTCAAGAGAAATTAAGGCATGTGTCCTCACAAACACCTGCACACAAACATCTACAACCATTTTATTTGCTTTAGTAAAAAACTAGAAACCACTAAACATCCACACACAAGTGAATGGAGAAAAGGATCACAGTGTATTCACACAATGGAAAACCACTCAGAAAAACAACCAACCTGCTGACCCACAGATGAATCTCAAAATAAGCAGGTTAAGCAAATGAAGTCAGTTTAAAAATTTTAAAAAGGCGGGGGCAGGGCCCACCATATGGCTTCCCTTAGAGAAAACTCTCAGAGACAGAAACAGTGGTGACAGAAAGCAGGTCTGTGGAAACCTACAGCTTGGAAGAGCAGCAGCTTACAAAGCGGTATAAAGACAGTTCTAGGGCAAGAGTTGTGTTCCTTCTTTAAATGGATGATAGTATAGATTTATTCTAGTATATGTCAAAACCCACAGTGAACACTTTAACTATGTGCACTTTCTTATACACTAATTGAAACTGAAAAAAAAATTAACTTACAGAAAAAAGTCCTCTTCTTCATCCGAATCATCTTCCAAGAGATTTCTCTGTCAAAAAATGAAAAATACTTGAGTTTTCTGAAGCAGAGGAATTACAAAATGTCAGGGAAGAGAGAAGAAACAAGTTCTAGGCTGCTGATATTTTTTAAACAAGCTTCCAGGAAGAGGGAGGAGTAAATACAGATGCTGTCCTGGCAGTAGAAGATATGGGACAAGGACTGTGGACCTTCCAGAGAAAATGCTCTCAATTCCAGATGACTGGTATGGCAGTCATCCCTTCCCTCCATTCTCTCTATCGGCAGCACTGATCTGTGGAGTTCAACGGCTACCCCAGGAATAAGGGGGGTGACATTAGAGCTGAAACTTAGTCCAGAAATAGTTCAATACATATGCTAATTTCCAACAATGCAACTTTACAGTTTCACATAACCAAACAGAAAGTCCTCCTGGAAATGAAGATGGGGCCACATTCTCCCTAAAAGGAGAACATGAGGTCCTAGAAGGAGATTAAAGTCAAGGAAATCCAGATCTTCAGACATAACTAATACATCCTATTCTGTAGGTAGAGTAATGGTTCCCAAAGATGTCCCTGTCACAATAACCAAACCCGTCCGGGACCCTGTTAACTTCTGGGGTGAAGGAGACTTGGCAATGTGTTGAAGGAGCCTGAAGGTCCTTATTGATTAGTCATCTGAGTCCCAACTAAGGACAACAGTTCCTCCAAAGAGAACAAGGGTCAGAGAGAGAGACACTAAGGAACTGAGATTCAAGTCGGGGAAGAGATGAACCAAGAAAGGCAGGCCACTTCCAGCAGCTTGGAAAAGCAAAAAGCAATTTCTCCCTAAGAAAATATGAAATAGCAGGTTGGTAGTGCTTTTGCAAAGTTGCTTTGCAGTAACTCGTTTCTCCAGAAGCGGGAAACAAATCACCTATGCATCTTTTCTGAGAACATTGCTTGAGGAATTAGGCCAGCCAAAAAGAAGATGGCTGGGAGGGGAAAGGAGCTGCTTCACAAGCGCAAGGACCTGAGTTGGATTCCCAGCATCCACGTCAAAAAGCCACGTGTGGCATTATGCACCTGGACCCAGTGCTGGAGTATGGAAACAGGAGGCCCCTTGGTGCTCTCTGGCCAGCAAGCTTAACCAGTCAGCAAGTACCAGGGTCAATGAGAGACCCTGTCTCAAAAAATAAGGTGTAGAGCAACTGAGGAAAAGACCCAATGTTGACTTCTAGTCTTCACACTCACACACATAGGGAGCACACCTGCATATACAACACACACACACACACACACACACACACACACACACACACACACACACACACACACAAGATGATAATGTCATTGTGAACAGTAAGTTAATGAAAAGTATGGCATAGAACAGGTCTCTAGGAGAGCTTAGCTTTCCCATTGAGGCTCAGAGGCTGAGTGTGGGGTGAAGTGAGGAAGTACAAGTGTATTAATGTGCTCACCTTGGTAAGGCGTGAAGGCAGGAAGGGGAAGAAAACAGAAAACCAATGAGGGTGAATAATTTTTGGTAAGTTGACAACAGAGATTTAAATATCACTGTTAAAATATTTAGCTAATATTTTAAAAACAGAAGGAAGAAGTAAGGGAATAAATTCACTAGAGTGCCTCCTGGTGTCAGGGCAAGATAAGAGATGAGGTAAAAATAACCAATCTGGTAAAAGTATGAGGGGAAATTTTAAAAGAAATGCATGTATGTATAATAGTCATTTATCTATGTAAAACAATATGTAACATATACTAAAGAGTGAAAAAGAAAGGCTCTATTAAATGTTCATTAACAAATACTTGTAATACTGAGCATTGAATACGTGCTAGACATGGGTGTAAACACCAAACATGAGCTGTGACATGGTCTCAGCTCTTAAAGAAAAAGGTGTTCCTAAGAAAAATGCCATGCAGAGAATTCCAACAGTGATGGGACAGGAAGTGACAGGTGACTACGTGACACTTAGGTTGTCATCGAAAATCCTTCTGAAGAGATGAAACTTAAGCTGAAGTTCAATGATAACAAAGACCCAGACAAATATGAGAGACAGGGCACTCAATGCCCCAGGAAAATGGCTGGCAGAAAAATCCCAACGGTATTACTTAACATAGCAAGGGAGTGACCTTATTAAAAACAAAATCCAGCCAATGTTTATTTGTTTTCACAAGACTCACCTAAAAGCAGTGCCAAATAAAGAAGAAGGTGGGGTGTGGAGAAAAGATATAGTGGTCAGCTCAAACCATAAAGAGTATTAGTAATCTAAAGCCAAACCTTAAAGCACCACAATAAATAACAATTATAAAATGCACCATCTACCAAGAAGACTTAAAAATGTTCATATATTGATAATATAGTTTGGAAGACATAAAACAAAAGTCATATCAAATTACAAGCCCAGTGAGTTATAGGCTTCTTTGAAGATAGACAGAGAGAGTTTATCTCAGTTGTCTACAGAGAAACACACATGAGACCAATATTCACTGATCAGATGTGTGTTAGGGATACAATATAAAGAGTGTACAACAGGATACAGTAAGAAATTCTCACCCAGCAGAGTGTGAGTGTGATAAGGGTGTACTCACACATCACTGCTGGAAATCTAAAGCTGTACACCCACTTTGGAACACAAGTCTGAGACCTTCCCAAAACATTGGGCATAGTTACTGTAAAACCTAGTAATTCTGCTGCTAGATACATAGCCCCACCAAATGAAAACAGGGCTCAGCCATTAAAGGGTAGGCTCATAACTAAAAATACAAGAAAGAAAACATATGTTCAAATGCTGTGGGATGTCTTTCTATACGCTGTGAATATGTATTGCTCTGATTGGTTGATAAATAAAATGCTGATTGGCCAGTAGCCAGACAGGAAGTATAGGTGGGACAAGCAGATGAGAAGAAGGCTGAGAAAAGGAAGGGAGAGTCAGGAGTCGCCAGCCAGACACAGAGGAAGCAAGATGACAAGGCAGAACTGAAAAAGGTACCAAGTCATACGGCTAAACATAGATAAGAATTATGGGTTAATTTAAATGTAAGAGCTAATCAGTAATAAGCCTGAGCTAATGGCCGAGCAGTTATGATTAATATAAGCTTCTGTGTGTTTACTCGGGGGACACGAGTGGGAGAGATTTGTCCCGACTCTCAGCAGGCCGGGACACAGGAAAACTTCCAACTACATTCAAACAAAATGTGTATGTTAGCTAGTATTCATTCATTCAGCAGTATTCAGAACAACTGAACTATGGGGGTGTGGTAGGGCAGGCATCCCAAAATATCCGTTAACTAATGAACAGATTAACTAAATGCTGTACACCTACATGATAGAATATTATTCAGCAATAAAAGGCACATAAAGGGGCTGGTTAGGTGGCAAAGTGGTTAAAGAATACTATCTGATCTTCCAGAGGAGCCAGGCTCAATTCCCAGTACCCACAAGGTGGCTCATAATCATCTGTTACTCCAGTTTCAGGGGGTCTAAAGCCCTCTTTTGGCCTTCTCAAGGCACTGCACACACGGTACACAGACATACATGTAGGCACTGCACACATACATAAAATAAAAAATGGAGAAAATATTTAGAAAAAAGGAATATAAAGTACTAATACTATAATACTGACAATTTTGAAAACATTATGAATTAAAGAAGCCAATCACAGCAAGATATATATCATATGATTTCATTTACACAAAATACTCAGAGTAAGTCAAACTACAGAGGTTTAGTTGTCTATAATTGAAGGAATGGAGAGAATGTGGAAGACTGGTAAAGGGGACAGGGCTTCCTTCAGGGATATAGATATGCTCTAAAACTGACTGTGGTAGTAGCTGCCCAACTCTATGAAAATATCAAAAGCCACTCAACTATATGTATCTAATTTAAGTGTTCAGAAGCCTGAAAATATTACCCTGATCTCCTCCTATCTTTTTACCTAGGAATTGATCATAAAAACATGCTCTGACCTACCCTGTTTGATGACAGGTCTTAAGATACCCATTCCAGCCGGGCGTTGGTGGCGCACGCCTTTAATTCCAGCACTCGGGAGGCAGAGCCAGGCGGATCTCTGTGAGTTTGAGGCCAGCCTGGGCTACCAAGTGAGTTCCAGGAAAGGCGCAAAGGTACACAGAGAAACCCTGTCTCGAAAAACCAAAAAAAAAAAAAAGATATCCATTCCAAAGGTTTTTGTCCCATGTCCAGCAGAAAGGAACAGAGAGGCCAAGAAGAAGTGGAGAAACAGTTTCTCTTTCTCCTCCTTCCTCTTTGCTATTAAACCACACCTTTCTGTCCAATCTATTTCTACAAAGTTGTCCATGCGTCATTAAACCTCAACATAAAAACAGGCCAATTCACCCTCCTTTTTGGGTCTTCAATCTGAAGGCTCTCGTGTCACGTAAAATAAAACCATGATCAGATAAAATCTGTCCTACTTTTCCTTTGTTTTGTTTTTTTACTTGTTTTTTGTTTGTTTTGGCTGGCCTCGAACTAACAGAGATCCACCTGCCTCTGCCTCCCGAGTGCAGGGATTAAAGGCATGCGCTACTTTTCCTTTGTTAACCTTTCTTCTGTTGTGGGGTATCAGCCATGACCCTTTAAGGTGAACAGGAAAAGGGTCGCCCCTTTTCTGTTCCATACATTATAGATGTCCTTCTATCATTTACAAGAAATGCACCTTACATTGAATTTCTTTAAAGCTAATTCTAAACTTACCCTTTCACTTTTCACAGATCCAGTGACATCATCATCATTTAGGTGGCGCTTGAACTTGGGAGGCATACTTTCTGCTCACAAACGCTCTTCTATTTCCCACCAAGTAAGTATTCGCCACCTTAAGGAGAAAACGAATTTCATCATAGGAGAAACTCTGAGGCAGAGGCTAGCTAAAGTGCCTAAAACTGTACAAGGCCCTGCATGATAGGGTCTCCTCACCTTTAACCTCTAACTACCTTCCCTTTGACTTGCTCCATTCCATTGACTATAATCTATATGCTAAGCCTTAGCTTGCAAGCAATAGTTAAAACCATAATAAAAATGAATGCTACTCCCCTAAGGAAACATGCAGAGAAAGTGGGTAAATTTGGGATTTTATAAAATGGAGGAGCAGATACTGTCAAAGCGGGAGCAAACGGGAATGGTCCCTAAATGCTGAAAAAGCTTTGACTTTTAACTTGGAGTAAGGAAGCGGCATACTTCTAGTCACTGCGCTTCTAACTAGTTGCGTAAGCAATGATTTAGTTCCTCATCTGTAAAACAGTGATTTCCAGGATTCTGCATGAGGTTGGGTGGTCACATGAGCTAACACATGCAAAAACATTCACAAGCTATGGTCCACTGGTGCTCCATGAGAGGGGCTAATTTGTAAGTACTAGTGTAACATGGCGGTAATAACAATTCTGTATTTATATATACACGTGTATATCTATTAACTCACAAAACACATACACATATACACAAACATATTTACATATGTGAGTGTATATGCACATGTTCTCTCCCTTCCTTCCTCCCTCCCTCCCTCCCTCCCTCCCTCTCTCTCTCTCTCTCTCTCTCTCTCTCTCTCTCTGGCTTTCCTCTTGTTTCCTGACATGTAGATCCTAAAAGCCCCATACCTATGAGTGATAAATGTGAGTTTTTTATGCTAATAAGATTGACAGATGGTCTGGCAGTCTATAAGCAGCTTCAGAATGGAGTCTATTCACTGAAAAAAACCAAGTCAGGACAAAGGTTGGGCTATTTCAGTCCACACCACCCCAACCTCTGGAAAAGGTAGAGGGCTAAAGTCTGAGGTGATCCCCAACAGCTGCTATTATAATTTACTCTTTTCACAAACAAAGCTTCCATAGAAATCCCAGAGGTCAGGACTCCAGAGAGCTCTGAGGTATAAACACATGGACTTTCCTAGAGGGTGGACCCCTGGAGGGGCCAGGAAAGCTCTGGGCTCCTTCTTCTACACCTTTCCATCTATGCCATCTGATAATTCATCTGCACCCTTCATAAGAACCTTTATCATAAGCTGGCAAAATTAAGAGTCTCCTTGAACTCTGGGAGCCGCTCTAGCAAATGAATTGAAACCAACAAAGGGGCTGTGGCCATCTCAATTTATAGCCAATTAGAAGAACAGGTATAACAACTTGGGGCTTGACACCTGAATTGGGGGCCATTTGTGGCTATTTCCTAGGAGACTGTGGTAGAAATAAACTAAGGGGACTTTTAGGGGGTCTCTGCCGGAAAATGTCCTGCAAAATGGTTTGCTTTCTGAGGGAAACCACCCTCCTCACATTCTGGGTTCACAAACATTTTCTGAGAGAAAACGGGATTTTCTTTTTCATATATAAAAACAAGGAAGTTAAACAAAGCTGGTTTTCTTTGCAGCAGCACCACCCCACGGCCTTTTATATGTTAATGTGCTTTTTTTTTTTTTCAGGAAACACTTGAGTATGCAACATAATCAAAATTTTTCTGGAGTAGTTGTTATGCAAATACAAATTTTCAGTATTTTGGAGATGATGGCTGACGAAAAATCATAAAAGCTTTAGTATGTGCTGAACAAGTACGTGCATATTCAGTAACACAGAAGCATTTTTAGCATTCAGTGTTATACATGCATTTTCTTTTTGATTTCTGACGCCTCTTTCAAGCAAGCATTAAGAAAATTTAGTAGGATAAATAACCCACAGTGTTGTGTCACTCCACTCAAACAGATCAATAAGTGACTATGCATTATGTTTTAATATTTATTCATTGAATTGCCATCATGTTACACAACTCTGTTCTAGAACGATATACTTTCTTATAACAACTTACCATCTTCTATTAAAAAAAACCCTTGAAGATCTTTAAATTGTTAGAGATTAGTTTATTACTGGTAAGCACTAAGAGAAACCCACGTCCAAGAAATATCAGTAAAATCAGCTTCCTGTCGTTTGTTTTCCAACCAGCAAACCACTTGTTTTCAAACCACTTGTAACATTAAATTACTACCCACGCCTGAGTGACAGCTCCAGGATTCTTTACTCTGCACTATTTCTGTTAGATAGATCTGGTCCATTTCATTCCTTACATCTAATTTCGGAATAAATTTTATGCAGAAATATTACAGAACGCACTGAAAAAAAATTGGCAAAGCAAGAATTGAGGAAAATGAGCTTTTAATTATATCTGGACTTTATATTTTAAACCTCGACAGCACAAAAGAAACAACTCACTGCTAAGAACAGATACTCCAAGTGATCTTAGCCACCAGGGAAAGACGTGATCCAACGAACTTACATAACCTCTCTATAGGACAGAACGCTAAGCCTTAATGAGGAGTAAACCCCTTATTCAAGTTCTTAAATCCAAGTTAGCAGTCTGAGGAAGGAAGCAGCTCAGGTCAGACAAAGCCACTAGTCAAACAGTAGACCGATAAATAAGCTCTTCTTGACAAACTACCCGAAACTAATGATATTTGTAGGGGAAAAAAAGTAGCAGAAATAAACTGTGCTCAGAAATTAGAGTTAACTCTATTCTGCCTACAGTTCCTCGACCAAAAATATTCTTGTCAGTTAAAGCGTCTACGTAGTAACAGCCATGCCTGATGTCTGTCCCTGTCGAGGATAGAACACTACAGGGTTCACCGAAGTGTCAACAACGCAGGGCTCTGACGTGTACTTATCACTCGCTTAATCTCACGTATGTATCTCTTGTAGCACGTTCTCTATTCAATGGCTTTACACGTAATACACTTCTAATCTGTTGTTTAACCTATGTTGGCTTTTTTACTTTACAAAACAAGCCCTGTGTATTTCGTTTCACAAAATGCTCAAATCTGGCTGGGCACCGGCTTCCCTTTTCTCAGCCTCCATTCCCTTTCTGGTTCTTCCTCATTTCTCATCTCATCTGCAGTCTTGGTTGGTGGCAGTTCCACGCAAATCGTGATCTGAATGGACTCAGACCGGAAATCTTACTCGCAGAACCTGTTAGGTGTAAAGGATTCACCTCCACCCTGGGGCCATTCTAAACACAGCGGGGTTGCGCGCTTTCTCCAGAACCCCTGAGGAAGGAGCTCAGGCAGCCTCACGGCTGGTTCCTCGGTTCTCTTCCCCGCCGCCACACCAGGCCCCGCACCCCGACATCTGCTAGGAACTCTGGCCCCCCACTCCCGGTGCAGGCCGGGGAGGGCAACTCGATCCCAAAGCTCCTCGGCCGCCCCAGCCGCACCCCCTGTCCTCGCGCCCCTTCCTCACGGCAGCCCGGGCCCCAATCCCTCCCCACTCGCGACCCGGTCCTCGCGCAGATCAGCTCCCAGCCCCAGCGGACGTTGGGGGGCGGCGGGCAGGGGCGTCGCCTGGCTTCCTTCCTCCCTACGCGCGCCGGGGCGGGATACCTGAGGCTCCGGGGGAGCTCCGGGCAGCAGTCCCTGCTGGCTGCGCAGGGCGGGCGGGGGAGGGAGCGGGAAGCGGAGGAAGGAGGGTGGGAGGGGGGAGACCCAGGGCGCCGACCAGCCACCGCTCCGAGCTGCTGCAGCGCCCCCGCTCATCGAGCGACTCGGCGCTCAGCCGCCTGGCGCTGGGCGGAGGGGGCGGGCTCAGGCCTCCGGCATCGAGCCGCTCGGCACTCTGAGGCCTGGAGCGGGCTCATGGGGGCGGGCCCGGGCCGCGGAGATCGAGCCTCTCGGCGCTCCGCGTCTTGTTGCTGGGCGAAGGGGACTAGTTCAGGCAGTGGAGACACCGAGCGGGTCGATCACTCCGGCCATTCTTTAACCTAGGAGAATCCCCAGTAGACGTGAGGTTCCGATCCAATGGAGGAGCATCGTACGTGGGCTGCGTAGGGAACGTTGAGGAGAAGGCGCTCAAAGCCGGGCGCTGAAGGGGTGACTGGAGTGTCTGTCGGTTCAGACGGTCTGAGAGAGCCGGGTAGAAGTGAAAATGCCCATGGCATTTTCTGATGGAAGAGCTGTTTGACGCCGTTTACAAAATTGGTTTGGCTTGAGGAGCATGGTAAGGGTTACTCAGTTTCATTTCCTTTAGTTGTAGCCTAAAACATCAGGATCCAGATACAGGATTTAGGTGGGAAAAACACCCTTGCCCAGTCATTCCACCAGTATATTTATCTCCTTCCCATCCTCCGCTTGGAGTATTTATTTAAAACTTGCAAATCTCATGTCGCTAGACTTAGTCCAAAAATTTTGGTTTTGTATTTTTGAATTTTGTATTTATTTTCTCTTGTTATTTATTCTTGTCTCTGCACGTCTTTTTTTTTTTTTTTTTTTTTTTGTTTTTTTGGTTTTTTTGGTTTTTCGAGACAGGGTTTCTCTGTGTAGCTTTGCGCCTTTCCTGGGACTCACTTGGTAGCCCAGGCTGGCCTCGAACTCACAGAGATCCGCCTGGCTCTGCCTCCCGAGTGCTGGGATTAAAGGCGTGCGCCACCACCGCCCGGCTTCTGCACGTCTTTTAAACTTAAGTTATGAGTCCTTTGGTACTACTGTCTTAACTGTGGGGAAATAAGAAAGGATGTTCAGAAACAAGACAATAAACAGGAGGAGAAAAATTTCTTTAGCATAGGGTTGATGTTCGACTCACTAGTTGAGTTGACTCCTATACACCTTTGCTGACTTGGACTGAAATGGCCTGCCCAGAATGGAATCATTGTAGTCTGTGTATCTGTCAGGGCATGATGGTGAGATTATCAGAGTCCTTAGATGGCCCAGAAGTGTTCTTCTCTTCATTTAATGTTTTGTAAGATGTACTAATTTATATGTATGAGTGTTTTGGCTTCATGTATATATGTGCACCATTCCTGTGCCTGGTGCTCTTAAAGATTAGGTGAGGACTTTGGATCCTCTGAGATTGGCATTACAGACTGTTGCAAGCTGCCATGTGGGTGCTGAAAATTGAACCTAGGACATCTGAAAGAATATAAGTGCTTTTACCCATGGGGCCATCTTTCCAACCCCTTTAGTTGATTTTTTATGTGTATATGTGCTTACTATGTGGAGTTTCCGTGCTTTATTTCCTTAGCCAGTTACAGCCCTTGTCTGCGGACGTGTAGGGAAATAGGATCAAAGAGCTGCAATAGACATGTCACTTTTTAGCTTTAATGAATCACCTATTATTTTTCTTTGTTTTTAGTCATAATGCTTTAGTTTTGCTGATTATTTTGATTGCTTTTGGGCCAGGAACACATGCCCCTACTCTTTAATAATGTGAAAAAGTCCCTTTGACTATCACTAACATTTGTGAATACTTAGGAAATGTGATTTTTGTGGTCAATGCGAGTCACTGTCTTAGTGTTCTATTGCTGTGAAGAGACATTATGACCACAGCAACTTTTATTAAGGAAATCATTTAATTGGGACTGGCTTACAGTTTCAGAGGTTTAGTCCATTATCAGCATGGTGGCATGCATGGTGCAGGAGAGGAGCTAAGAGTTCTACATCTGGATCTGCTATTGTTTCCTGTGACGTAAAAAAATGGAATGTAAATCAATTATAAAAATGTGAATAAATGAACATCACTCAAAATGTAAATGAAAAGAAATAAAAAAAAATACTGTTTTTCACTTGTCAGTAAATGACAGCAAAAGATAGTTCAGCAGAAAATATGCAGTCTACTCTTCCTTCATAGGGGAATGCTCCTAAGACAGCAGACAGGAATGGGATTTTATAAAGAAATATAGTAATACAGACTCCCTGGCTAATAAACTAGTAGTATTTGCTGGCAGAACAGTTCATATCTATGGACTTCCTTTAGCTATATGTCCATGAGCTGATTATTTATGCTGAGTACATCAGGAATCTATAGAGTCGAGGGATATAAATCAGTGGAAAATAGCAGTGTAAATTATGTAATAGTGCCAGGTGGTGGTGGTGCACATCTTTAATCCCAGCACTCAGGAGGCAGAGGCAGGTGCATCTCTGAGTTTGAGCTCAGCCTGGATTACAGAGTGAGTTCCAGGACAGCCAGGGCTACACAGAGAAACCCTGTCTCAAAAACCAAAAAGTTATGTAATAGCATAATAGTACTTAGCAGCTGTTTCATTGCTGAGTTAACTCATTCTGTATTAGTGGGGTGACTGTACATCTTACTTAGAAAGCACATGTATTTTCTTGAACAAGAAATGCACCCAAGTCAGGAGTTATCTAAGGAGCAACTAAGTAACCTAAATCTGTCCCAACTTTGCACAATTTGATCATGTGAGTTATGTGGAGCCTGGCTTTAAAAGACAGATTGACTGTACCTTTTCTGAAAAATATAGATGATGTACTGGGAATGCTCAGATGACTTCTTCAGAAACTGTAAATGTGATATTATGAGAAGGGTTCATGGAGATACTCGGTTTTCCCTCTTAATTCTTCGTGTCTATTGATAGACTGTTATAAGAGTTTTATCTTAGGGAAATGCCCTCGCACAAAGATAAGGACATCAGAGAAACTCATCTAGTTGTGTTGTAAGTTTAATATACTGTTAAGTTAAAACTGGCCACCACTTGTCAAAAGACTGTCTTTCAGCACCGTCCTAATTAACACTCGATATTTCTGCACAACAACCTAGTGATAGTATCTTTTTCCTTGTCAATTTAGAGAACATGATTCTGAGAAAACCTTGTGTAATCTGTCCAACATTAATAAGTATTGCACAACTATAAGCTTATACTGAGGTGAACTAAGTATTTTATCTAAATGGGTCCCATGCTTTACCTAAAATAGAAATTAGGCAGTTTATACTTGTTTGTTTGTTTGTTTGAGACAAGGCTTCTCTGTGTAGCCTCATCTGTCCTGAAACTCACTCTGTAGACCAGGCTAGCCTCAAACTCACAGATATCTGCTTGCCTCTGCCTTCCTGAGTGGTAGGATTAAAGGCATGCATCACTACTGCCCAGCAGTTTACACTTTTTTAAAGGAAGGATAAAAATGTTTAATTGTGGAAATATATTGGTAAGTTAAATCTATTGCAGTAATGAATAGATACACATGTCATTGGCAAATTAGGAATTTTCCAGATATTCTACTACTAAGCCCTCAAAAATAGTTTAGAATTAACATGCTAAAATGCCATGATCACACAAAGGTAGACTGGGAGACATAGTGGTTATCACATATTTGTAGTTAGGAGGCTTTAAAAACAGGAGGTAGGCATGGTGAAACACACTTCTAATCCCTGCACTCAGGAAGAGAAACTGATGGATCTCTGCGTTCGAGGACAGCCTGGTCTACACACTTAAAAAAGAAAATAGAACAGAATCAACAGGCAAATTAAACTATTTTTAAATATTGCATTGTGATACATTGTTCCTAATAAAGGAAAATTTCTGATCCTTAAGATGACTTTTGTAAGCCAAATAATAAGAGAAAAGGGGTAGTAAAAATCTGTTTGCCAACTTTATAGCTAAAAGTTAATGCAAAGTGGGAGATAAGAGACAATATTTTATCTCAATAATAAGAACAATAATCTTATTATATAAAAACTATCAAAAAAGTTTTGATTAAAAGACACCATTTTTTTTAAAGATTTATTGTGTATACAGTGTTCTGTCTGCATGTATGCCTGCCAGCCAGAAGAGGGCGCCAGATCTCATTACAGATGGTTGTGAGCCACCATGTGGTTGCTGGGAATTGAACTCAGGACCTCTGGAAGAGCAGTCAGTGCTCTTAACCTCTGAGCCATCTCTCCAGCCCCAAAAGACACAATTTCTATGAGGTGTGTTGAGTAGCCATGGTGAACAATGCTATGTGGCCTAACAGCAGGCCAGACCACAGCTACCACAACCTGGGGACAGTAGAAAGTTCCATGAATAAACACATTGTCTAACTAGTAGTGGTTTTTTATGTTGTTTGACTTCCTGTGTGTGAGAGATGTGAATAAACGTCTATTTACCTTGAATAGGGCACCAGCACCAGACACAAAGAGTAATTCCACCCAAGTCTACTTTGGTGAACTGAAGAGTTTATTGGGGTTATTTAAAGGAGCATGGGCGACTCAAGGGCAGAATGTATCACCAGAAAGCCTACCATGACATAGGTGATGACTCATCAAAGTTGCATCCCTGAAGCTCCTTGCCTAACTTGCAGATGATCCCACCAGAGAGCCTCCTCCTAACAACTGTTTACTGCTTTTATAACCCTGGGGCCCTTGTGAATCCTGTAACTTCTAACCCTTGCAGCTTCCTCTATAGCCTCTTAAATCCTGTAAGCCTCTTCCTTCACAGAGGAATGCTCCAATTCAGAGGAGGTAGCTACTCAACATTATATACCACAGCATTCAACTGGTACCCATGGCTTTATCTATATACTTTTAGTAAGATGGGGAGAGGGTACAGCAAGGTGCAAGTGTTTAGAATTGCTTTGGAAATGTCCCCTGTGCTGGATTTCTTCCAAACTGGCAAGCAAGCTCTTGATTATTGACTCATGATGTTATTTTCATCTTTTTGTAGTCTTTCTTTGATTTGCACCATTTCGACAACTTCAGATGGCAGGTCAACAGAGAATCCTCTTAGTTTCTCCTC